AAATGTACCTTTGCTCATTCCGGCCAAAAAGTTCAGTTTTAACCTCATCGGTCCACAGAACTTGTTTCCAAAATGCATCAGGCTTGTCTATATATTCATTTGCAAAGTTCAAACGATGATTTTTGTGGTGAGAACGTAGAAGAGGTTTTCTTCTGATGACTCTTCCATGAAGCCCATATTTGTACAAGTATCTCTTTATAGTGGAATAGTGTACCACAACTCCAGTGTCTGCCAGATCTTTCTGGAGGGAACGTGGGTTTTGAATTGTTTTTCTCACAATCCTGCGAGCTGTTCTGTCTGATATTTTTCTTGGTCTTCCAGATCTTGCTTTAACTTCCACTGTTCCTGATGACTGCCATTTTCTTAATTACATTCCGAACAGAGGATATTGACATCTGAAAACGCTTTGCTATCTTCTTATAGCCTTCTCCAGCTTTGTGAGCGTCAACAATTTTCAGTTTCAGTTTTCTAGACAACTGCTTAGAAGAACCCATGGTGCTGATTGTTGGGGCAAGGTCAGATGAGTCTGGGCATTTAAAACCTTTGAGATTGACATCACCTGGTCTTCCCAGATGATGATTGAGAACAATCCATGACACTGGCAGGTCTCAGCTTGGCAAAGGGGGCAGTGCATGCCATAAATTCTGCAGGGTGCCCAAACTTTTGCAGACGCAATTTTTTTGTTTTCTGTTATTTTGAAAGTGTAAATGATGGAAATAAAATCTAACTTTTGTTGACATATTATAAGAATGTCTAATCTGTAATTTGATGCCTTTTGGAGATTTGTCCATCTTTCCTTGGCTTCTCTATGCACATTAATACAAATTTTTACCTGGGGTGCCCAAACTTTCGATCCCCACTGTATATAGCCACACTCCTAAACCTTGTGGACAGCCTTCCCAGAAGAGTTGAAGCTGTTATAGTTGCAAAGGGTGGGCCAACTCAATACTGAACCCTATGGACTAAGACTGGGATTCCATTAAAGTTCATGTGCATGTAAAGGCAGGTGTCCCAATACTTTTGGTAATATAATGTACATGTAGATGTGGGGGCTTATAAAGCAGAGATATCTTTAGTGTAATCAAATTCAGGTAAATGTCAGCACCGGCAAACTCTGAAGTGAAAAAATAGTTTTACTATAATAAAACTTACCAGTTTTGCCTGATAATAATCCCTAGTTAACTCTAAGTATGTTTAATTAACTGTTTCTTTTTTCTTCATCTCACATTTTGACCCTATTTGTTTTGGCAGTGTTAAAGTAAAGAAACACATAGCATTGAAATAAAGTGAATTCATTTTATTAGAGAAAAATGTTGCCCTGCTTTGACTCAACAATTTTTTAGTATTGATAGAAAAATAAAATAATACAGTTTTTAGAAGACAATGCTACCAAAGTAAAGCATATATGCATCAATTTCTCTACTGTTGGCATGGGAAAATGGCACAGGTGCATGTGCTCAAATAGTTTAGATCCAAAGCAGCACACAAATATCTTGGGTAAAGTTTATGTATATGAGATGTATAAAAAAGAATCTAAAAGAAATTTATATATATATATATATATATATATATATATATATATATATACACAGTATTTACAAACAACACGTGCAATTGTCTCAAAATTAAATTTGTATTTAACATAGCAGCCTGAACATGTGCATAATTAATCTTGTAGACAATTAAACATTCTTCAGTTCACAGCTGAATGCAATTAGCATTAGGAAGTTTACATATGCTGGCAATAACACAGATTAGCAACTAAAGTGCTTGTTAAAAAAATTAACCTGAGGCAGCCTGTGTAGACCTTTCTTAATGATCTAGTAAATGTTGTTGATGAAGTAATAATCAATTTTGTTTTATAAATAGTAAATCAAGATTTTTGGCCTAATTAGGAAAGATACAGATCACTTCACATAATACCATTTCAAATGTTATGAATATGACGAATTTACTTGAATATGGAACAATTCCATATTCACATTCATGCCGTTTATGGATACAAATGCAATAATTGAGTGTTAAACCTTAACTTTATGGTGTTTTTACACATTTTTTAATTTGTAGATGTCAACTAAAAGAGTAGTTTTTGTAAAACAAATATACTCGAATGCTGAATTTTGGCTTTAGAGAGTTGTACAGAATAACATAGAACAAAACTAAAGATATTGTCAAGAGCAACTGATAGCATATCTGGTTTCTTCTTCTTTTTTATAAAAAAGTTTGGAATAGGATTGTATAGGTAACTGTCCAACCTCTTCTTCTCTACAGTGTTTATAAATCACTCTTTTCGAGATTTCTTTTTTTTTTTTTTTTTTTTTTTTTTTTTAATGCCCTGCTTCAAGAAATTTTCTTGTGTAAAGATGACTTGCAAACTCTACTTTCAGATGGAATCAAAATTTAGAGCAACAATCTTCCACACATTGATCTTTTAGTGGTACACAGGAAGATTCTTTTATTCAGGCATACTTAAATTAAAATTTATACACCCTTGTTAGTGCTCCACACCACAGCAAACAGTCTGGATTTTGTTCAGTGGATTTTTATTATAGTAAACTTTCTGCATGATTTTTATTCCTTTTGGCCATAAATGAAGCATGTGCAAGTTTAGTTATGTCAAGATCATAGTTCACTGAAATATGTCAAAGTACTGCATAATGAGCCTTTGCTTTAAATAGATATGATCACTATTTTGGATCTGTGCCATCAAATACGTCTCTCATTTTAAAAAAAATAAATCCAGTAGAATAAATCCAACATATATACAATGAACTGTACATAATAAAAAAACTTAATACTATGTATATTTATTCTAGAAATCTGATTTATACTGCTTGATTTTAAAGTCAATGTTCACTTGTTCCATTTTTAGTTGCCAAATAACCATGTTTTTCTTTTCTATAAATCAGAACTCAAGCCGAAATACTGCCTGTTAATGTGCACTATATGACTCTTTGTGCTGTGATTTTGTTTTTCTAAAAAAAGGTCTGAACTGCAGTCAGCAACATTGTTCAGTACACTAAGATGTACATGTTTATTAAGCAGATCATTTATCTCATTTCAGTTCTCATGGAAAAATTGTCTCCTCTGTCCCCCTGTTTATGACACGGAGAACATTTGTTCCCAGAAGGAGAAGAAAGGAGAAGTTTTTCCTCTGAGAACAGCTGAGATCTGTGTAGGAGGGGAAGGGCTGCATGCGATCTCATGAGATAATTGTGTGATTACAGATCACCTGAGTTTAAACAGTGAAACCAAAGTTAGAAAAACCATGTAATTACATGAAAATAATAAGCACTGACCACTGGTATTTTTTTATGCACATTTTGGCATATTCTTTAACTGTGTATTTTGCTTCCTTTTTATTGCGCATTTTTTTTTTTATTATTTACATGCATTTGCTGTTTTTTAACATGCTGTATTTTTTCAACATACATTTTGGTGAGGGTTTTTTATTGTGCATTTTGGCACTTTTCTAAACACAGATTTAAGCTCTTTAATGCACACTTTGGCACAGGTTATTTTAACACATATTTAGATGTGGTTTGTAACACACATTTCGGCACTTTTCTTACCACATATTTTGGGACCTTTTTAGCATGCATTTTGATTTGGTTTTTATTTGTATTTCAGCAAACAGCACATCTGCTAGCCATTTTTGGGTGCCGTTAACAAATAATGGCACTGCAAACATGACATGCATTGTGCTGGCGTTTCCAGAAGACACACAACAACGTAGGTAAAAAATTAAACAAAACACATGTTAAAAAAGCACCAAAATGCATATAAAAATTTCAACACACATTTTTTAAAAATGTGTTATAAAAAAGCAGCAAAATGTTTGTTAAAAAACTGCACCAAAATGTACATTAAAAAGGCCCAAAAAGCCAAATTGAACTTTTTTGGGCATGGAGTGTTGTGTGTTTTTTCAATGCGCATTTTGGTGTTTCGATAGCGTATTTGCCATACGACAAAATGTGCGCCAAATTGTATGTCTGCTAACAGCATTTGGGGTGCCTTTAACAATGAATGGCACCCAAAAGCTCACTGCATATTTTAACAAATTTTTAGCACAATTGTGCAATTCTGCCAGCAATTCTGCATTGCTCAGATGTGAATGGGTCCCAAACAACAATACATTATAACTATACTGTATGTGTGTGTATATACACTGTGTATTTCTTTCACAAATGTTTGTTGAAGCAGTCTGCATGCCTAGGTGCTTGATTTTATACACCTGTGGTCATGGAAGTGATTGGAACACCTGAATCCAATGATTTGGAGGGGTTTCCAAATACTTTTGGCAATATATTGTATATATACACTATACAGTATATATAAAATGTAAATTTACATATGTACATACATAAACATATATAGTTATAATTTATATCAATGTTTAACCCCGGTGGTGCTGATATTCAGAAGAAAGAAGCCTTCTTCCTCACATCAGAGCAGCTTCTCACCCCTATTCTTCACCTCTGGGCTGGAGAATCTGGGACAGAGACGTTTTACAGAGATGGCCAGTGAGATCTTCAGATCTCACCTTCAGAAACTGCCAATCTCTGTAAAAATGAATGACAGAAGGGTGTGTCTTGTGAAGAGAAATTAAGAAAATGTTCTCCACTCCTCACTTCAGCTTCATAAACTGGCACACCTGAGAAATCAGCTGTTATCATCAGGCCAGGCTCTTGGCTTTTCTTTCGTTCATAAATGGACACCTAAGGATCCTTTCACACGGGCGCTCCGTTTTTTTCATCAGTTCAGTCATGTTTTTTTAAAAAAAAAAAACGGGTGAGTTTACATCCATATTTTCATCTGTTTACATCCATTTTTTTATCTGTTCATCCATTTACATCCATTTTTGGTCCATTAATACCCTGTTTACATCAAGGCCGACTTTGAAGTCATGCAACTTTGAAGTGGCACGATTTCAAAGTCGGATGACATGCCGATTTCAGGTGCTATTTGCAAGTCATCTTAAGTCAATTCACAAAAGGAAATAAATAATTAAATGCAATTACCGTATTTTTCGCTCCATAAGACGCACCACCTAGGTTTTAGAGGTGAAAAATAAGAAAAAAAAATATTCTGAACCAATGGACTGCAGACACAGTACAGGGGATGACCATAGACTGTGGACACAGTACAGGAGATGACCAGAGACTGCGGACATAGTACAGGAGATGACCAGACACTGCGGACAAAGTACAGGGGATGACCAAGAGACTGCGGACATAGTACAGGGGATGACCAGAGACTGCGGACACAGTACAGGGGATGACCAAGAGACTGCGGACACAGTACAGGGGATGACCAAGAGACTGCGGACACAGTACAGGGGATGACCAGAGACTGCGGACACAGTGCAGGGGATGACCAGAGACTGCGGATAGTGCAGGGAATGACCAGAGACTGCGGACAGTGCAGGGAATGACCAGAGACTGCGGACAGTGCAGGGAATGACCAGAGACTGCGGACAGTGCAGGGAATGACCAGAGACTGCGGACAGTGCAGGGAACGACCAGAGACTGCGGATAGTGCAGGGAACGACCAGAGACTGCGGATAGTGCAGGGAATGACCAGAGACTGCGGATAGTGCAGGGAATGACCAGAGACTGCGGACAGGCAGGGCATGACCAGAGACTGCGGACAGTGCAGGGAATGACCAGAGACTGCGGACAGTGCAGGGAATGACCAGAGACTGCGGACAGTGCAGGTGAATGACCAGAGACTGCGGACAGTGCAGGGAATGACCAGAGACTGCGGACAGTGCAGGGAATGACCAGAGACTGCGGACAGTGCTGGGAATGACCAGAGACTGCAGACAGTGCAGGGGATGACCAGAGACTGCAGACAGTGCAAGGGATGACCAGAGACTGCAGACAGTGCAGGGGATGACCAGAGACTGCAGACAGTACAGGAGATGACCAGAGACTGCAGACAGTGCAGGAATGACCAGAGACTGCAGACAGTGCAGGGAATGACCAGAGACTGCAGACAGTGCAGGGAATGACCAGAGACTGCAGACAGTGCAGGGAATGACCAGAGACTGCAGACAGTGCTGGGAATGACCAGAGACTGCAGACAGTGCTGGGAATGACCAGAGACTGCAGACAGTGCTGGGAATGACCAAAGACTGCTGACCTTTGCGGAGGGAGGGGGAGCGGGTACCTGAATTTGACAGGTACCCTCTCCCACTTCTGCAGAGTTGCCTTCCCTCTTCTTCCCGGGCCGGCTTCTGTGACAGCCAGGTGCCCACTGCGCATGTGCGGGAAGAGCTGCGCTTTGTGAATGGCCCGGCACCTTCTGGGACCTTTCATGTGTCCCAGAAGACACCGGATCATTCACAAAGCGCAGCACATGCGCAGTGGGCACCCGGCTGTCACAAAAGCCAGCGCGGGAAGACTGTGCAGCGCTGGAGTGAGGAACAGGTAAGGCCCTGCAGGAGACAACAGCTGAGCGGCCGGCCCGGTATACTGACATGGTGGCCGCAAAAATACCGGACCGGCCGCTTTATATTCGCTCCATAAGACGCACTGACATTTTCCCCCTTTTTTGGGGGGGAAAAAGTGCGTCTTATGGAGCGAAAAATACGGTAAGTAGTGGTCCAGGCAAGCGATATGTACTATATCTGTCATTACTGTCATGGGTTGTTAAGGAATGGGTGGCCGCCAAATCCCTAACAACCTATAAGTCATCAGCTGTCAGCAGGGTTCACCACTGACAGCTGATTGTAAGAAAAAAAAATTGTCAGTAATTAAAAAATAATTTAAAAAATGGTGTGGGGTCCCCCCCTCCATCCATACCAAGCCCTTTGGATCTGATTTGGATCTGGTTTGGATCTTTTAGGGGAACCCCCATGCCAAAAATGTTTTCAAAAATGGCGTGGAATCCCCCAAAGTCTATACCAGACCCTCATCCAAGCATGCAGCCCGGCAGGTCAGGAAAAGGAGGGATGAGGGAGCGCCCCCCCCCCTGAACCATATCAGGCCACATGCCCTCAACATGGTGGGGTGCTTTGGGGCATAGGGGCACCCCCCCCAAAGCACCTTGTCCCCATGTTGATGGGGACAAGCGCCTCTTCCCCACAACCCTGAACTGTGGTTGTGGGGGTCTGCGGGCAGGGAACTTATCAGAATCTGGAAGCCCCCTTTAGCAAGGGGGCCCCCAGATCCCACCCCCCCATGTGAATGAGTATGGGGTACATGGTACTGCTACCCATTCACAAAAAAAAACTACTGTGAAAAAAGACAGGAGACAATCTTTGACAAGTCCTTTATTAAAAGAAGAAAATTAAAATAATGTCCCCTGAAGTAGATCCAACGTCAATCGCGCTGCCCACCGCCGCCACCCAAAAAAAGAAAAAAAAAAGGCTCCGCTCCCAACATTGACTCCCGCCGTAGCTCCAGGTGGCCCCGCCCCTTACATATTTAAGAACTGTCAAGCCAGCGGAGCAGTCTGACAGCCGTGAGCCAGTGTCGGGACTGAAGCTTTTTTTTTTTTTTTTTTTTTTTGGGGTGGAAGCGGGCATCGTGATTGACCTTGGATCTAATTCAGATGACATTCTTTTATTTTTCTTCTTTTAATAAAGGACTTGTCAAAGGCTGTCTCCTGTCTTTTTTCACACTTTACTTTTTTTTGTGAATGGGTAGCGGTACCATGTACCCCATACTCATTCACATGGGGGGGATCTAGGGGCCTCCTTCCTAATTGGGGCTTCCAGATTCCGATAAGCCCCCTGCCCACAGACCCCCCCTGCCCACAGCCCAGGGTTGTGGGGAAGAGGCCCTTGCCTCCATCAACATGGGGACAAGGTGCTTTGGGGGGAGCCCCCACCCCAAAGCATCCCCCCATGTTGAGGGCATGTGGTCCCCCCCCCCCCCCCCCCCCCCCCCCCCCCCCCCCCCCCCCCCCCCCCCCCACCCCCCCCCCCCCCCCCCCCCCCCCCCCCCCCCCCCCCCCCCCCCCCCCCCCCCCCCCCCCCCCCCCCCCCCCCCCCCCCCCCCCCCCCCCCCCCCCCCCCCCCCCCCCCCCCCCCTGTTATGGTTCAGGAGGAGGGGTGCTCGCTCATTTCCCCCCCCTTTCCTGACCTGCAGGGCTGTATACAATCCATTGACATCAGTTTTTCGTCCGTTCCTCTCTTCTGTCACTGATCCTCGGCAATCGCCGGGTGCCGGCGGGGAATCTCCAGCCTGGAACTCAGCGATCAACAGCCATAGCTGCCAACAGCTTACCAGGAAATACAAAATCAAGTATATATACATGATTTTGCGCAGCCCTGTAGCAGTAGTTCTCCTATAGGGAAGTCAGTAAGTGGTTAAAACAGTTTGATTTTTTTAGACAGATGTAATGCAAGGCTGGACACAAAAACTAAGAGCAAGTCACCCACACTGCACAGGTATGATCAAAACCGGCACTCACACCATAGTTTCTAAGCTTGTGAGGGACACACTACCAAGTGTAAAACTGTCCTTGCACATCATGCAGCTTTCACTCAGCACCACAAGAAATAACAGAATCCAACCGCAAATCTCCACTTTTTATTATCACACAACACACACATATTTCTAATGGTCATCACAATCTGCATAATAACACACATCAATAGTAATCTGAGTAATACAGCATAAAATAAACACATCTTTTGACAGCATCACAGCATAGAATTAATACATTACCAAAGCTATGGAAAGAAGGGAAGGAAAAGACCTCATCGAACCACAGTGCACAGGAGATTGTGGAGATGCCCGGAGCACTACCGACCGATGAGTCCATGCAGCTTTGGCAAAACTCCCAGAGTCAGAGTGTCCCCTCACGCGTGGAATGGCTTCTGATCTTATCGTCTCCAGGCCTCTCTTAAATACCCTTGCTCAATGCCTCTGGCCACAATCCCAGACTGCGCAGTGCCTCACACCCAGTCACTTATCACTATCATGCCATCCAGCAGGACTTATTATGAAACTCTTATCTTCATACTGCCATCTGAGTTTTCTCTAAGTTCAAATTGTTTAAGCCTTATGGCAATAAGCCCGCAAGCTGGGGGCTAGATAAAGTAACAGACTTTTATAAACATTTCTAACTGCGCAAACAAGTCTTATCTAATACAAATGGCCTAATTCTAGCTATATCTTGTGACTCTGTAAGTTTCCCTTAGCCTAGGGAACAGGGGCGGACTGACAACTCTTGGGGCCCCGGGGAAATAGGGGATCATGGGGCCCCTGTGTCCTTGCCCAAACTCAAAAAAGCCTATGAAAAAGGTACCAGGGGCATCTCATGGGGCCCCCTACTGACGCCGGGCCCTCGGGCGCCTGACTCCGGGCCCTCGGGCAGTGCCCGGGTTTCCAAATGGTCAGTCCGCCCCTGCTAGGGAATTATATTATATCATTCCCCGTGCTTCTGGCATATGGGCAGTGATGCTTTAGGCTAAGTTCACACTAGCCTTGTAAGCAGGCGTTAAGCAGGCGTTTGAGTGGCGTTTTTTAACGCTCTCCAAACGCCTAAGAAAATATTACACATGGCAGCGCACAGTGCTGTTCACACTGCAGTGGTAGGGTCGCGTCGCGGCAAAAATAACGCCTATTGTCGAGTCAGGAGGAGTTGAAGCTTTTCAACGCCTCTCATAGAAGTCTATGGTGACGCTCCACAAACGCTCTGGTAGGCGGTTGCGGAGCGTTTGCGGGGCGTTTGCGGGGCGTTTGCAATGCTTTAAGAATTTCTTGAAAAAATGATTCAGGAGGAATATCATGTCCCATAATTCCCTGAAAGAATAGAAGAGAGCATAGAGTGTCCTTCAGTGATTTCCTGCTATGCACTTCCTGTTTGTGCTGCTTATAAGATGGCTGACATCAATCTATCTATATTGATCCAGGAGGTAGAAAACAGACCAGAATTATATGATCCCAGCACCCCAACCTACTGTGATGCGTACAGAAAACGTGAGGCATGGATTGATATATGTAAAGTGGTCAGTGCAAGCAGCTGGGAATCACTGTCTGCAAAGGAGAGGGAGAATAAACGTGAGTAATTTTTTTTTTCATGGGCAAAATTTTTCACGCTGCCCCTAAGCACAGATATTATTAAACTTGGACAAATACCATGTGCCCACACTTGCAGCATTTTATTCAAATGTGTGACTGCACATGGTCAGAAAAATGTGATTTTAGTTGTAAAT